GAAGAAGAGGAGGAGGAGGAGGAGGAGGAGCGGGCCCCGTCCCGCAGCCGCTTTCCGCCGGGGAGGGCGGCGGGCAGGAAGGGGTTAAGGCGCTCCCCAGCTGACAGTCAGCTGATGGGGCCCTGATTGACAGCTCCGAAAAGTTTCCTTGTTTCTATACTATTATGCTAATGAGGGCTGGGATGGCGGCCGCCCATTGGTCCGGCCGCCGAGTCAATTTCCCATTTGACGTCAGGAGCGCTATAAAACTCAGCAATGCTTTTAAACTCTCCTGCTGGATGAAACCTTTAAAATATTTTTCATCTTCTCGCTGTAGCTTTGGGGTCGAGGTGGTTTTTTTCCCTCTCTCTCTCTCTTTTTTTTTTTAAACTATTATTAGTAGTAGTCTTTTGGTTGCGATATCGCCTTTGATTTTTTTTTTAATTTTTTTTTTTTTTTAAATCTCCGCTCTCTTTTCCCTCCTCCCTTCCCCGATGAACCTCTCTCCTCGCTCTGCACTTTGCATGAGAAAGCCCAGAGGAAAGGCACCATGAAGTGTTAAAAAAAATAACAACCCAGCCCAACAACAACAACAAACCAACAACAAATTTCCTCGCACCGCCGCCAGCTCCCACTTCCAGCTGCAGTTCGCGAGCTGCGAAAGCGAGAGAGAGGAGAGAGAAGGGAGGGAGAGGGGAGGAAAGGAGGAAAAAAAAGAAAAAAACCCAACCAAAAAAACCGAGCAACCAACCCTTTATGCAAAAGGCGAATAGCGAGAGCCCCTCGCTCTGATGCATCAGCGGCAGCGGAGACTCTGCGAGGGCTAACGCGGAGCGGAGCGGAGCGGAGGCTGCGAGAGGCGCAGGCGGGGGAGAGCGGAGCGGAGCGCGGAGAGGAGCGGAGCGGAGCGGAGCGGAGCTCGCCCGAAATCAAGCTGGCTCACCCGGTGGCAACTCAGAGCAGCCCCCTCGCTCCCGGAGCGCACCCTTTCTGGAGGACTGTCAGCAGCAAAAGGATGGCATCGGAACTGGCGATGAGCGGCTCCGACCTGCCCACCAGTCCCCTGGCCATGGAATATGTTAATGACTTCGATCTGATGAAGTTTGAAGTGAAAAAGGAGCCGGTGGAGACCGACCGCATCATCAGCCAGTGCGGCCGCTTGATCGCCGGGGGATCGCTCTCTTCCACCCCGATGAGCACGCCCTGCAGCTCCGTGCCCCCGTCCCCCAGCTTCTCGGCGCCCAGCCCCGGCTCCGGCACCGACCAGAAGACCCACCTGGAAGACTACTACTGGATGACGGGCTACCCGCAGCAGCTCAACCCGGAGGCGCTGGGCTTCAGCCCCGAGGACGCGGTGGAGGCGCTCATCAACAGCAGCCACCACCCGCTGCCCGGCGCCTTCGATGGCTATGCTAGAGGGCAGCAGCTGGCCGCGGCCGCCGGCGCCGCCGCCGGCTCCGTGCCG